CAAACAACGCAGGCTGACCTAACAATGTGCATGCATATTTTGTGAGTGGTGCACCTCTAGGGTGGTGTGTTGTTGTTGTCCCTCTCGTTACATGGGGATGCCCAGATTCACTGCTCTGACCTTCGGAAACAAGAAACTAAGGAGGGGCAAGAGCCTGACCTTTGCTGCATGCATTGCTCCTCTTTCTGTTTTGTTTTCAACACTGATTTCATGGCCATCATGTGCATAGCACTTGTTAGGATACCACGGCTTTGCACTGAGAGCAGATTTACCCAGGGCCCAATTCTGACACTTTTTCAGTAGTGCAGCTCTGCTGTTACCCCTAGGAAGTCAATAGCTGTGCTCCTGGTGTTTCTCTTAGTTCCTAAGTGTTTCAGTGTTGGAGCCATGAACATTTTTGAATACTATACACCTAGAAATCAAACCAAATTTCTCTTTTCCTCCTTCAGGTAAAGTTCTGAATGACTTCAATAGGAATATGGTCCTGCCAACAGCCTAAATTCTGCCGTAGGCTAGTTAATGTAGAAGTGAGCGTATAATTAATGTAGAAATGGGTGTTACAATCAAAATCTGGATCTTGTTTAGTGTTTTCAGGATAAACCCAGATTTGCAACAGAGTAAATGAGTGAATTAAGAGCACAGTGTAAGATATCAGGTTAAATAGCACCAGCTCACCTGAACAGAGCTGGGCATCACTGCCGTAAGGAATTTCCAGTAGCACCTGAGTAGGGTCATAGCTGAGATTACATAACCTGCCATAAATGCTCCCTGATGGAAAGCGCTGTCTCCGTGGGAATTACAGGAGAGAACTGGCCCCACATTTGTAAAATACCATTGAAGTCCAACCAGTATTTGCTGTTTTACAAAACAACACACCTTCTGTAGAAGGCACTATGATGGTACCTTCAGGGTAGAGGATGGTATCAAAGTGTTAAAAAGTTTGATGCAAGAAAGATCCCTGAAAAGATGACACAGAAAAATCTTTTCAACAACAAAGTTCTGGGTAATTTAATTGCAGCTTTTTACAGACAGCTAGTACTTTCCTGTAGCGCAAACAGGCTCTTAGTGCTTCTATCCCTGTGCTTATTTATTCAATTGATCTTGCTGTCTACATAAACCTGAGAAGCATAAAGCACAGTAGGTGACACAGAAACTTTCTAAATGTCATCTGACGTTTATAAGGGCAAAGAACCCATCCTGTAATTTTCCACATACCTACTCTCTAGTATTTTATGGTCATTGTCATTCATGGTACTGTTGTGTGTGCATAAGAAAGTCCATAAAAAAGTAGGTCAAACGTGATTTATCCAAGTACTGTAAAAAAGATACTGAGAAATATTGTTAAAGTTTGGGCATTTTTTCAAGGGATTATTCCTCCATTTGTCATTTATGCCAATACAATATTTCAAGAAATAGGGGATATACAATTTCTTTATCATTCTCTTTTCAACAGTAATTCCTTAAAATAGCATCCTATGGTCCATACTACATATGCTCTGAATCAAGTATAAGCCTGTATCAAATTGATTTATTTAGGCTATAACAATGAAATAATCCCTTTTCCAACCACTGGCCCACCGAATCTGGAAGATTTCTGCCTCTGGCTTTGATGACCTCCAGATTTTTATTCCGCCATACAATATTTCTTAAAAGCACTCATGCAACAAACGTAATTGTCCTGAGAGCTGTGTACAAGGAGAGTAATTGCTTGCACTTGTATTCTTGGAAACCGCTTTACCTCTTATAAGTAACAATGACACAGCAAACAGAGAAAGATGCATGGTTCATTCCTCTGAGGGGTTGGTTCTGGTTTTCCTGCTTTTCTGTAAAAGGTTGTTGCAAGAGCAGGCAGCTGGAAGCACGGCTACAGAGGTGGTTTTCAGGTTAGTAAATGGGATAGCTTGCACTGAAATGCGTGGGGAGGCATCTCCCCCAGCACAGGTGTGGGGTTCACTTCTGGCTAGTGTTTTTAAATGATCCTTCTCAGATCCTTTGCCACAAGCTACAGCGGTATCAGCAGTGGGATATCAGTCGTTTCCTTTGGGAAGGGGAGGGTCCAGACCAAAGCTGTGCAACGCGTTGCACCGTAGGACGCAGCAGACGTGCAGGCCGCAGCGCGGCAGCCCCGTCCTCGAGGACCTGCTGCGCGCTGCTCGTGGCCGGGATGCGACTTCCCCGGGCCCGAGCAGGGCCTGCACGTCCCCACGCTGCGGGACACAAGCCATCATCTCCTCCTCTGCAGAAGCCATGTCCTGCACAAGCAGGGCGCCACGTAACCGCGGCCTGCACGCCCTGGCAGCCCACGGCCAGGCCGAGCGAGACCCGGCGTCACAGGAGCGCCACAAACAAGCTGTACATTCGTGTAGATTTGTAAATTCACCCCCTCACCAAAAGGAAAACAGTCCAAGATGAAAGAAATTTGTATATTTTTAAATATCTTGCACTTTACTGCTTTTTTTAACCATTATCTTATGTCACATAGTTGTCTTAATGCAAAGAGAAGCCATAAAAAAAAATAAAATAAAATAAAACCCAAACTTGTTCAGGGTTTCTAAATGGGGGATAATAGTTTTAAAGTAAAGAATCCACATCACATCTTTGTTTAAGGTATAATGTAAAATACCATTAAATATCTGTACAGTAAAGC